CAAACAGTGGTCTGAAACCAACCCCCAAGAACATGGACCAACATTGATATATGCTGTATTTATAGTTTCCAGTTTTCCATTCTTGCCTTTTTCATTTTATAATTTAGGGCATGGCATTTAGTATCATGTATCCTTAGTCTCCACTAATCTGTAAGTGGTTGTACATACATCTTTGCTCACCTAATTGATCTTAACACTTTTGAAGTTTTTCACCCGTAATTTTGTAAAATGCCTCAAATCTCGTTTCTCTACTTTTTAATTTGGATGGACATTAAACATTCTCATGAAAATATTTTAGAACATAAGTATCTTTTCTAGTGTCAGATTACATCATGTTAGCATGTTATAGGAGATGTTAACCTGGGTCATATCTCTCATGTGTCTCAATTGTAAGTTTACTTTATTCACTTAGTATTATCGGATATATTAGGGACCTTATTTGAATATGTGCTAACAGCTTTCTCCTCAAACTTCTGATGACTTAAAAAAAAATCTATGTTGTTGGTTCTGTAAAAAGTAAAAAGAATAAGACTTGATAAGCGATATAGACACCCACCCTCAAAAAAAAACAATCTAGGATTTTCCAAATTCCTAGGACTAAGAAGTGAATTTAGCAGGTTCACAGGATACAAGGCCAATGTGCAATCATATCTCTGTATGCTAAAAAACAAGTATGGGAGGTTCATGCAGGTTTGTGTACGTAAGGACTCTGGTGCACATATTGCAGATGTGTGTAGCAGCCAGAATTTGATGTTGGGTATCTTTCTTGATTGCTCTCCACTTTAGTTTTTGAGATACAGTCTCACTAAACTGGAGCTCATTGATTCAACTTGGCTTGCTAACTGGTGTAATCTAAGAATCTGCCTCTGCCTCCCAGAGTACTAGGGTTGCGTATATGTATAGCCATGTTCGACTTGTACAGGTACGCTAGAGAGCCTTGCTCAGCAGGAATGTTACCAACTGCACCATTTCCTCAGCCCTTGATTTTGTTTTTTTTTTTAAGTACCATTTATAATAGCACCACCAAAAGAAATGTACTATAAATCCATTTTATACATTTATGAAATATTACATGTCACATAGAAAATATTACTTAAAGGTTTTCATTTAAACAAAGGATGAAAAATTGCCTCAGATAACAGCAGCCATGCCTGTGAAAAGCACAAAGACAAAGCTGGCAGCGTTCTCTTCAAGACTTCCGAGGATCATCTGAATGGCATGAACAAAGCTTTTAAATGTTGTGCAGACTTTCAGGCTTATTGATCAAGTTTTAAAAATGAAGCAGCACTGAAAATAACAAAGCCACAAAAAAGCTTTTCGATGCCATTATGCCTTTCAGCATGAGTAACCATAATATTTAATGCACATTTAGAGTATTGATTTTTTTAAAGTTATCTTGTAACTATTTAAAGTACCCCCAAAATACCATTGCTTTATTATTTTTTCTTTCTACGGTTGATGTAAATTATTGTTCCTGCAGAACATTTTGGTAATGTTTTTATATAAATCAAAAAAATATGTTGTCAATCTAATAAACAACTTAGGAAATGTTTATAATTGAGCAGCATTGTATCAAGGGTGCTAAGGCCAAAACAACTGAAAGTTCTCATAGTCTGAAAAGAGATACTTCACAATCTACATGTCTTTTATATTTGTATAGATAAGTATGCAGTAAGCTGAATGGAGTTCTTACTAGAGTAACATAAACAGGCACAGTGACACACACCTGTACTCCCACCACTCTGAGGTGAAACACAGAGGAGGATCACTAAGCCAGCATAGGTTTCTTAGTGAGATGCTAGCCATGGCAGAACAACAAACCACTGTAGTTAAATTCTTAGAGCCATGGACAACAAAACAAATTCTTTTACTGAGAATGAATATACTACTCTGCATTCTGTTAAACAGAAGAATAAAATAAAATCTTCGTTGTCCATGAAAAATTCCAGAAGAATCTATAATATACAGTGAGAAGTGTAGAGTGTGGGAGAGGATGTGCTTCTTCCACTTGAGATGAGACCATGAAGTAGTATGTCAGGCTAAAGTCTCAGCAACTCTTTTTGCAAGTAATATGACAAATTAATGTATTTATATTTGTAGACATACACAAAATAGTTATTTAACAATGATAATCGTCAGGTAAATAAGCTGGGTTTTCTTTGTGGTTCTTTTTTTAAAATCAGAGTCTCCTGTTTCACAGGGTGCTCTCTACCTCACTGTGCAGCAGAATATGACCTTGACCTCCAGACTCTCCTGTCTCCTCCCAAGGGCTGGAATTACAGATGTGTGCCACCACGCCTCGTGTTTTGGGGGCTGGGAATCAAACCTGTGACTTAGTGCATGATTGACAAGCATGCCGTCCCCCCCAGCTACATTCTTAGGCTCTGGGGTTTGTTTCTGTTTGGGGGGGAGTTAACATTTATATTTTTAAAAATTACTATGAATATATTTGTATATTTAAAACTTTAAAAACCAGTAATAAACATTAGTAAATACCTAATTGTGACCTCACTGAGGATAATGATGAAGCAGAAGATGTAGTTCTGTATTAAGCACATAATTCCTGTCTCTAAAATAGGCTTGGCTAATATCATACCCTGATAGTTACTTAGTTGGAAACAAAAACAGGGATGCCTGCATATTGAAAGAGCTTTAACCATCAATATTACATACAACCTAGGTACATCAAAGGTACAACCCCTGGACACACTTTCTAGGATGTAATCTATCCAGTAGGATTCTTTGAAATTCTCTAGGCTACTAGGATAGATAGCCACATTTGAGAACCACTCTTTTATAAGAAACAGAAAGGTTTTTCCATCCTTTAAGTTGTATTCTTTTTTTAAATTGTTATTGTCTTGCAAAAAATTGATTGTACAGCATGAATATTATTTTTCAAGTGATTTTTAAAGCAATGCTTGGGTAGCCAACTTTTGAATGAAAGGGTTAATGTATATATCCTCTTCATTTACAGTTCTACCTTCTAGATTCTCACATATTACCTAAGAAATAAAGCAATTATATCCCTGCCCTGTACAAAAGCTTTTAATTATCTTTCCATTTAGATTAAGTTGTAAGTTCCTTATCTGTCCCAACCTGTTTTCAGTTTTACAGCCTGTTTTCAGTGCTAGAGTCTAACAGCCGTTCGTTCTTTCATACCTTGTATGTTCTTGTTTGTGCTGTCTTCTTCGTTGCTAATGGTGCTTATTGTAGGCCTGGTGCTGTGATGAAATACCTGAGGAAAAGGAGAAAGAGCTTTTGCTCAGTTTCAGGGGTATCAAGGCCTGTGGTGGCACAGAACAGTGTGATGGGAACATGGAGTAGAGGAATTCTGTTTCCCTCAAGATCACAGGGAAGCAAGACTAAAGAAGGGACTGGCTCTCAGCATCCTCTTTACAGGGATGTTCCCCAGTGCCATAATTCAATCCTAGTAGTCACAGGCTGATGAACTAACAAATGGGTCTTTAGAGGGACATTCCCTTCACAGCAACACTAATTTAACAATAGATACAGGAAGGTTAACTTGTAGAATAGAATATTGTAGCATTGAACCCTTTAAACAAGGTCTGTTGTAGGTCATTTACATAAACTCTCTCTTATAGTCTTTATAGCTGTGTCTGAGACAGTCATTTTCCTTATAGTACAAATGAGAACTTGACATTGTCAGGGGTAAATCACTTGCTTAAATGTAGTGTTAGCAAATATGACATTTCACATTTCAGATCTATTTTTCATTTCGCGGTCCCCTTCCCCACCTCACATTGCCCACTGATGCTCAGCATGACTTCTTCCCTCGTGTAGAGTGCATAAACATTTGATGTTTTCAGCCTTGCTTTGAAACCTTTATAGAAGAGTATTCAATGATTTTAAAAGGTAGGATAATCATTATCTTCATTTCTTCTGTCTGACCAGTTTTATTAGTTTGCTGTGATTATCTTGAGTATCAATAAGCTGTATAGTTATACATATATTTATCTATATTTTAAATCTTTTTCTTGTAAGTACTTGGAGTTTCACTTTTCCCGAACTGTAGCCCAAGACCTGCAATTCTTAATTTCAGTTGTTTTTTTTTTTTTCAGTGACCTTCAAATTGACTTAGTAATACCTGTGTATAATTAACTGGACTGGTTTTTTTTGTTGGGTTTTCTACAGGAATAGGACTGATAGAATGAGCCTGAATATGTGTGTACATGCGTGTGTGTGTGTGTGTGTGTGTGTGTGTGTGTGTGTGATTTATTAGAGTGACTTATAGGTTGTAGTCCTAGTAGCACCATAATGGCTTCTCATTTGATCTTTTTGAAGATCCAACAGTCCATTAGTTGTTCAGTCAATGAGCCTGGGTGTCTCAGTAGTTCCAATCTAGGGTTGGAGGGTCTGGTATATTCCTAGAGAGCTGATGGTCTCCTCTCTGCATTAAGGTTCTGAAGAAATAGGTTCTAATGCCATCAGATGAATGCTTTAGCAACAGGATAGGTGGACTTGGCAGCAAGAGTAAAGTAAAGATGAGCAGAAAAAACAGCTTCCTTCTTCATGTGCTTTTAAGTAGGCTGCTACCACAAGGTGTGGCCCAGGCTAATGGTGAGTCTGCCTACCTCAAATGATCCAGTCAAGACAATTCCCCACAGCCGTGCTGAGCTGCTTTTAGTTCATTCTTGAGGTCACTGGATTGGCAATCAAAATTAGCCATCATTTTATTCATCCATAAGCTCAATACAACTGATTCTTGCTCATGTGAAGAGAAAAGTTTATATATGTAGACAACTTTTCTAGGTAAAGTACAGCTGTACAAACCTTATATAGTTTTTGTATGGGAAAATGTTAAATTTTAACAAGAAGTTAATTTAAACAACATTAAAAATACAATAAATTTGGCAGCATGTAGTAGTGTTTATTCCCTTCATTTGCTTCCCAGATGTTATTAACATTTGTAAATGTCTCTTTAGGATGCTGCTTTGTTATTACAGCATTACAGTCTAATTTGATAACTTCTCCTTCATTAGAATGTGAAACATGTTGTAGAAGTACTCAAGAAGTGGTTGAAGGAAGAAAGAAAGTGCCACTGCCTATCAGAAAATAAAACAAACCATGGGAAATACAACTACCAAATTCCGCAAAGCACTCATCAATGGTGATGAAAACCTGGCTTGCCAAATATATGAAAACAATCCTCAGCTAAAAGAATCCCTTGATCCAAATATATCTTATGGAGAGCCCTATCAGCACAACACTCCATTACACTATGCTGCTAGACATGGAATGAATAGAATATTAGGGTGAGTATTACTTTAAACCCATTGATAATCAATGAAAAGGAAAATACTTGTGATCTTTGAAAATGTATAATACTGAGACATGTCCATGTTGTATGATCTATTCTGAGATCTAATACTAAGCCCGTACTTGTTGCTTTGAATATATTTCTATCTACACTGTAAATTAGAAAACAGATTAGATTGCAGAGTGAAGTTGAGCACTCTGAAGGGTAAGAGTGAACAGTAGCCAAAGGGACCATTGCAGAGCAGTGTGCTCTCCCACAGGGAGAGTGCCTAAGGAGATTAAGAACAATTCAAGGCTATTAGCACTAGAAGTGAAAGTAAAGGCTGCTGGTTGTACACAATCCCTTCCTCATTATCCGAATTTATAAAACTAAGGACTAACTAGGCCGGAGATCTGAGGCTTCTTAGCTCTGGTATGATGTTCTGAACTTTCTGGAATGCCATTAATAGATAACCAGTTAAACCTAAAATTATTAGCTAGCTGGAGGCTTTCTGTTTAAAAAGAAAGAAGTGACACTTCACCTAAGAGTCAATCAAAATGGATCTGTCAATCAACTGGTCAACAAAACCTCTCAGGGAAAGCTGTGTGTTACAGCAGAGACTTGAGAAACACTACAAGAGCTGCCTAAGATACAGGCTAGACGCAAGGACCTCTTTGTTCATTGTTCACCCTCACCCCTTAAGAGTGTGCACTGTTCTGCTATGGTCCCTTTGGACCCCAACAGACTGCCAACAGACCCCTGAGAGGAGAAGGGCCTCGTGAGCACTTCCCCAATCCATGGTAAAATACTGAAGAACCCAATAATCTTGTGCAATCATGTGCAGATCACTACAGCTTTGAGTTAAAGAGTGAGTGTTGCTGTGTATGTCCAGAAAATACCTTTTTGCTGTTCAACTCCTGTCTTCTGGTCTTGCCTTCTTCCCACCCCTCTTCTGAGATTTTCCACATCCAGTTAAGGCTGAGCACTTGTTTTCAGCATTTTGGCCTGTTATGGTTTCTTTATTAATTGGTGCTCACTGCAGTACAGCACTACTTTCAAATGGGGAATGAGAGCTGAGGCCCTAGGCTGACATTTTCTCAAAAACTAATTAAATCTTACAAGTAAAACAACTGCTGGTCTTTGATATTAATGATAAAGTTTGATCTTTCAAATGAATGCTAAAATTTTGGAAGACTCATTTTTTTATATTCAACTTGACAACTTGCTAATTCTTGCTTTCTAATAAATTGGTACTGATAAAACCCAATGTAATTTATTGTACAATAAAAGATGACAACATTTAGAGGTTCTCTGTAACTCACTGAATCAAATATATTTTGCATTGGTATATGATTGTTTCAAATTCTGCATTGATTAAAAAGTTAAAAATGTCACTTAGGACATATTCAGAGGCAGATGCTCACAGCTAACCATTGAACTGATCACTGGGTTCCCAATGGAGGAGTTAGAGAGAAGACTGAAGGAGCTGAAAGGGTTTGTGGCCCCATGAGGAGAACAACAATGCGAATCAACCAGAGCTCCCAGAGTCTAAACCACCAGCCTGGGAACACATAGGGAGGGACCCATAACTCCAGCTGTATATGTAGGGGAGGATGGCCTTGTTGGGCATAGGTGGAAGAGGAAATCCTTGGTCCCATGAAGGCTGGATGCCGAGTGTGGGGGAATTCGAGGGTGGGGAGGTGGGAGTGGGGGGGGCAGGTGGGGCACATTGTCATAGAAGCAGGAGGGGAGTGGGATAGGGGGTTCCTGGGCAGGGTGGGGAAATGGGGGAAGGGGATTATATCTGAAATGTGAATAAAATATCCAATAAAAAAATGTCAGTTAGACCATTAGATTTTTAATTAACACTACAAAAAGTTGATTCATATAGTTTCCTTCAAAAGAGCACCAATTAATAAAACAGGCCAGAATGCTGAAAATAAATGACAATTGCGTGCTCAGCCCAACCTGTAATAGTCGGCCACTTGTTAGTTGTTTGGTGTAGTGTCGTTTTTGAAAAGACAATTTAAACCTACTTTTCCATTTCCTAAACTGTATAGAGTCTAGATTTTGTTCATATACTACACTTGAACCAAAATATGTTAAGGCAGATTGTGTCCTGTGAAAAATTCCTCTGGAGGTTCTAGACCTAATGGAGTGGGCACATGCCCCCATCCCTTATCCAGAAGCAACCTCCAATTGATTACCATTTATAAGTGAAAATTTAGTTTCCTCCAAGAGAGTCTCACTGGGGAAACAAAGGACTCTTACAGGCAGGGTAGGCTGCGTGCCCAGCACTAGATGGCCAGCAGGAAATAAACTGAATGGCATCCTTGGAGGTTCTTTTTCTCATAATGACACGTCAGGACTTTGCCTCTATTTTAAATTTGCATTATTTTTTTAAAGTAACCTTTTGCTGTGTAGCATCCTCTGTACCCTCCTTTTTCTTTTCTCTTCTTTCCCCTTTTCCTTGTATAGTCTCATATGCTTTTTAGGCCCTAAAGTTTATTTCTCTTGCATACATATGATTCATGCACATGAATGCCTTCATTACATGTACCACACCTCATGGTGGAGGTCAGAGGACAACTTTGAAGAGTCATTTCTGTCCGGCTACATGAGTTCTGTGAATAAAACTCTGATTGTCAGCCTTATGTGACAAGCACTTTATCTTGTAAGCTATTTTGCTGGCCCTCCATCTTAATTGAATGAATTAGTCATTCACACACCTCAATAGATACTGGATTTTTAGCTTTGAAATAGACTTTACCCTTAAAATTCTTATCTTCTCTGTATTTTTGGGTAGGAAAAAGTTGTTTTTACTTTTCCTTTCCATTTTAGGACTTTTCTTTTTGGTAGAGATGGAAACCCAAATAAACGGAATGTGCACAATGAAACCTCTATGCACTTGCTGTGTATGGGACCTCAAATCATGATATCTGAAGGGACCCTGCATCCTCGCTTAGCACGGCCTGTGGAAGATGACTTCAGAAGGGCAGATTGTCTGCAGATGATCTTAAGATGGAAAGGAGCAAAACTTGACCAGGGCGAATATGAGAGAGCGGCTATTGATGCAGTTGATAACAAAAAAAACACACCCCTTCACTATGCTGCAGCCTCAGGGATGAAAGCCTGTGTAGAGGTAAAACCTGCTTTCTTTTCAATATACTGTGCTAGAAAATGTGTATGTTGATAGTATGTGGTAGTCAGTGTTTGCTTTGTCTCAGCAGTTCTCACCTCTTTATTCATTCTAGAAGAACCAAAGCCCTTTATAAGTCAAATTGCTACACTGCTTTAGGAAACAACAAGCAAAGTGCAAGTTCCTAGCCTTTCGGAATATAATGTAATAAAAATCAATAAGAAAATTGTTAATATTTTCTAAGATAACAATCAGCTAAGTACTAACATACTGAAAATAATAGGGGTTTTTGTCTGTGTTTGCTGAAAATTTTAATAGCCAATTCCTAAACTTGCATATTTTGGATGTGGGGGAAAGATGACAACTATTACCTATTGATATATTATCTTTACTTGATTTGTTTATTAAATAGATAACTGTTAATTGGATCCATTGGTTAGACTCCTTTTTAAAACCTTGTCTTTAAAATGTCTTTTTTCAATTGAATCTGTGTTCAGGTATTCCTGAATACATACTACATTTTGGAAATATTTATTTATAAGTATCTATTATATATTACTAATATATAAAGCATCTTCCAAGCTTAGATAAAAATCACTCAATCTTTGATTTCTTAAAAGATATTGTAACTGTGTTACAGTTCTGACAGGAAAGTTATCCTGGCAGTTGGGAGTCAAGGAATATCACAAAGTCATACTGCACAACAAACCTCACATGAGAGATTTATTGCGAAAGACACAAGTGGATCACCACCTCTGCTCAGGAGTGAAGCAGCAAAGAACTGAGCAGGAGGCAGGCGTTATATAGTTTTTTTCTTTCCAGGATGGTCTGGGACTGGTGAGATTTTATAGCCCAATCTTGGAGCAAGCTCAGAAATTGGTGGGATTCTGAGATCTGATCATGGGCTTTTTTCTCTGTGGGGCCTAGACAGCCATGAAGGCATTTAGAATACAGTAGTCTGGAGGATGGGGCCTGGCCACTCACATGATTATTATTAAACTAGAAGTGTTTTCCTAGCATAAGTGCCTAAACACATTGTAATATATAGCACTATGTAACTAAAGTTCCTAGAATATCAAGTATTTTATAAAATTTACTATCATAAGTAATTTAAATACTTTTAAACTTTTCTACCTTATTGCTTACAGTTTTTATTATAAGAATAATAGGAATAAATACCACTTCTATAATTTTTAAATATTCTTAATGCTTAGTGATACCAAGTATCATATAATGGTGTACGTTGTATGAATAAATACCACCAGATATTTATTATTTTTCATAGAACTGTGAGACCATCTAGTGATGGAAAGGGCAGAGATGTCCGGTATTGCTCCTAATGCTGCTTATGACACATTTGTGATTGTTTTCTCTAGGGTGGGATAAATCTCAGAATTATCTCAAAAGACCCCTTAGTCACTAATGCTTGTTGTAAAATATATCCCACTTTCTCTGCATAATCTTTAAACTTAGAGTTCATTCCTCCCAGCCCAGTAGATCTAATCTACTTTTTTAACTTTAGGGACTCATATTCACGGCATCTTTCTCTAGTTGTTAATTTTGATTCTTTTCCTTATATGTATTAGTTTTTTTTCTTTGCTTTGACAAAATATTTCAGGCACTCAGATTCACAAAAGTAACTTTGGAAAGAAATGTTTTGACTCATAGATTGAAGTTGTAGTTAATCATAGCCAGAAAAGCATGATAGGATGAGTGGCTCTAAGGGAGGAGAGGATACATCTGGGATTTCTCAACCCTTGAGAGAGTAGAAAGCAGACAGTGGGACTGGGCTATACAATTTCAAAGCTCACTAGCCTACTCCCCTCACTCTTGCCAGTGTGTTCTTAATCAATGGATTTTCCCCCCTTAAAACAAAACACACATAAAATAAGAAAACCTGACAGCCTATTTCAGTGACCCATTTCCTACAGTGCAACTGTACTCCTAAGGGCTCCACAGCCTTCCAAAACATTGTTATTAGTTGGAAATCGGGAGTTCAGACACATGAGCCTTGTGGGGTGGGTATGTTTCACATTCAAAATACAACAGTGTGTTTATTTAAGAGTACAATTTAGAGAATTATCTGGGGCTGCAAAGATGGCTCATTTGTTACACTTGTCCCAAAGACCCCCACTATGGCTCACAACCATCCCTGCTTCCAATTCTAGGGTATCCAACACCTTCTTCTAAATTTCAGGCACTTAAGCGGTAATAGGCATACATGGCAGGCAAAATAATCATAAATAAAATTAATCTAAAAAAGAAAAGAATTTAGAAAGTTATTCTTTGACAGTTTCCTCTGGATTTAGTAATTTGGAGTTTCCTTTGGTTCCTGGTTTTCTGTTTGCTTGCTTGCCTGCCTACTTGCTTTTGAGACAAGAATCTTTCCAATATGTAGCCCTGGCTGTCCTGGTACTCACTGTGTAGACCAGGATGACTTCGAAATCACAGAGATCTACCTGCCACCTGAGTGCTTGGCTTAAAGGCAAGGGTCGCCATGCCCATTTATGGGTCCTCATTTTGAACCATCAAAATGTTTACATCAATACTCCTTCCTGGGCTGTATACAAGTGCTTCCCTGTACACATATACTCACATTATGCATAGCATGAAAATTATAACCTCTTAATTATAAAATTGCTTTTAGAACCTTCAGAAAGCAAGGTATTAAAGGCTTTGTACAGAATTGTATCTGTGTCTCTGTCTCTGATGCCTTGCCTGACTGCAATGAGGTTCCTCATCCTTTGTTGCTTCTATGTTGGCTTCCTTGTAAGTATACTGTCGCAGTCTCAAATTGAGTGTTTCTGAAGCTGGGCTCAGTCACCACTCTACTAGCTTGAGTATCTGGTTTCTCTTAATGATTCTGCCATTTTCTGCAAAACCTTCCTGCCTTGGATTATTCACATATGCTCATTCTCCTTCCTCACTTCTCCTCTTCCTTCTCCCTCATTGTATCTCATTAATTCAGCTCATTGGCAGACTAAGACTCCTCCTTGTCTTCATTGCTCTAGTCAGCTCCTTCCCTTGTTGTTTCTCTTGTCTGAGACACTCTTCCCTAGAGCCCAGGCTTGACTCTGTGTAGCTAAGGATGACCTTGAACTTGGTTCTTCTGTTTCCACCTCCTAAATTTAGGAATTAAAGGTATGTGGCGCAGCCTGATCATATATATATATTTTTTTCTATTTGGCTGCTCTCTTAATACTAGATGCTTTAACTCTTCACCTTTGTGTTTTTCAAAACTTCCTTAAATAGAAAAACCTGGAATTTCATAAGTAAGTAATAATTATCTAAAATTATTGTGGGATGATAGGTATGCTGTAAAGAGTGTATTTTATTGTTTAAAGTTAGCAATTTGGGCTCTTAAGATTGCTCATTGTGTAAAGGCTCTTTCCACCCAGCCTGATAACCTAAGTTCAGTCTGCAGGACCAACATGGTGAAAGGAGAGAACCAATTCCTGAAAATGGTCCTCTGATCACCACCCACCCACCATGTCATCTGCATATTCCACACTCAAAATATAAATAAGTAGTTACATATCTAAGTATCTAAGGTAAAGGAGGAGGTAGGAGTGCTGCTGGAGCAGTGGCTTAGCAGTTAAGAACACTGACTGTTCTTCCAGAGGACCAGAGTTCTTATCCCAGCATTCAGAGAGAAGCCAACAGTTTTCTGTAACTCTAGTTCTAGGAAATCAATGCCTTCTGGCTTCTGAGGGCACTGCATACATGTGGTACAAATACATGCAGGCAAAAGACTGATACATATAAAATAATTTTTAATAAAAAAGAAATGCTTATATGATATATATTACAGATAAACTATAAATAACATTCCTATAATTTTAATGACTTCATGTATCAGCGAATTATTTAAGAGTTAGTAAATCTTTTTTTAGTAAAGCCTAAATAGTATATACTTTAGGCAACTTAGCCAGTGTAACCAACAAGTGACTGCAAGTAATATGTGAACAAAGAAGCAAGCAGTGTTCCAAAACATTGTTAGTTTGTGAACATTGCCAACTGATTTTCTTTAAACTTTTATGTGTTATGAAATATTCTTCAGGTTATTTAAAGTGTTTAAGAACTACTAAAATCCATACAGATGAGGCAGCCAGCTTGATTTGGCCCAGTTTGTGATAGCCCTCCATGAAATATAAAGAATTGGGAAAAGGAACCATGCCTCAAAAACATACCCTCACTCACCATACCACACTCCTCTCTATATATATGTACATATACACAGAGATATGTTCTGGATATACACATATATGCTTTATATATACCCATTCATACATATAAATATATAACATTATCAATATATAACATGAATTTGCTTTAATAACACAGAGGACTTAAATTCTTTATATAGATGCCCAGCACACAAAAATAAAGTTTCAGTAGTATATAAAACTGGTAGGATTTTAATACGATAATTAATATCCCAGGTTTTTCTGTAACTAAGAGGCTTTCTTTTCTATTTTGAATAGAAATGAACTTCGGTGAAGCTGATGTCAATTAGCATAATCTTTTGGTAGACTTCCCCAAGGTAATCACAGTCATTAGGCCACATTTTATTTCTATCAGTGATTTGCCTTTAATAGTCTCTGTAAGCGGCTTGTAATTTATCAGTCAGATTTATAACAGTAAATTCCCAACCCCAAAAATGTTCATACAAAAAACTCAAAACTCATTTGATATAAACACAAACTGTACATCTAGATGGGGCAAATGCATCCCACATTACTCTATTGTCCTTTTGTGATATCCATAGCTACCTGTGGCTTTTTCAAGCCACACGGATTAGGTTCATCATCTTCTTCTATAGGTTCTAGCTTGTCTCCTCGTCTCCGTCTCCCCTCTCTGTTTCTCTGTCCCCTCTCTGAAACTCTTAGCCTGCCTTCCTTTTCCACTGCCCAATCCCTTATCTTTCACCTGCCCTCACCTGTGTACAGACAGCAGTCTACAGCACACAGTACAGTTTAAAGCCCTGAAGGTTTACAATAGCCTGCATGCCTACATTCCATAGTAAAGTTGGGAATCAATGTGCTAGCAGGAGTGACAGAGCTAAGGTTGATGCAGTAACTCCTGATCTAAGGTGACACACAGCCTGGATCTTTGTGGGGACATTAGAGAAACACAGACACAGTGGCAGAAAGGACAATGAGCCTGAGTGACCGAAAGTACAGGAGAGACAGTTGTAAAATGATGGCATTAGCGGTGCTGAACTACTTTTGAGTGATAAACTTCTCTCTGAAGAAATTATAGGTGGCTTGCACCATCTAAAATTGTAGTAGCATAAATTAACTTCAGTCTAAGTAAAATGGTTGTGGTTTTAAACCCAAGTAACATTAAAGCCTAACAATTATCAGATGTTTGAAATGATAAATTAGGTGTGGGAATTGGTTAGAAGGTATTTATTAAGTTTTTGTTTAAAAACCAATGCCCACAAGAAATAGTAGGCAGCCTTTTGAACATAGGAATCAGATGTTTGGGAATGAAGAATATAGATTTGGAATTCTCACCTACAGAGGGATAACTAAAAGCAGGGTGTTGGAGAGATGAGAAGTCCACAGAAAAGTCTAAACCATCAGTTTGGACAATACCCTTGAGAACCAGAAGCCATGAAACAAACAGAATAAGTAGAAGAGTAAGTAGGCCATGGTGCTGGCAGGAGAGGAATACCAAGAGAAGAATTTCCAGGAAAGGAGAGTGGGTCAGTCGTGTGGCATGCTACAGAACAGTAAAGGAAGCAGAGGAGTAAGATTAGTGGACCTGAATGAGACCTTTGGGGAATAGAGTTTCTCTAAAACAATTAGGATAGAAATGTAATAGCTGGCAGTCATTGTCTCATTTTACAGGGGATATCAAGGGCAAATTTAAGAAATGTGGCTGAGAAAGCATGTGTAGTCCTTTGTCCTGCATTACGTGAGGTGTGGGAATCATTAGAAGGTATTTTTTATTACTGTGTATATACACAAACCTAACTGCTACATTCTGCTGTATGCCTTGTGTTCATAATGATATATGCAGTTTTATACAGTTGGTGAAGCAGTTGGTTTGTATACCAGCATCATCATGTTGGTATTACACTGCTTTGTGGTCTTAAGGCCACAGTGACACTAGAGCAGTGGTTTTCAGCCTGTGGTGTAGGATCCCATTGAAGGTTAAATGACCCTCTCACAGGGTTTGCTACTGACCATCAGAAAACACAGAAATTTACAGTTTGATCCTAACAGTAGCAGACTTACAGTTATGAAGTAGCAATGAAAATCACTTTATGCTTGAGGGTCACCACAGCATAAGGAACTATATTATTCGATTGAGGCACGATGGAAGGTTGAGAACCACTACACTAGATGATAGGAATTTTTCAATATTGTCTAAATTTTGGGGTATTCCTTTGTAGTATGCAGACTAAAACATCATTATTATCATCACACTTAACTGTATTAAGAAAGTAACTAGAAGGAAAGCAGGAAGTCCCCAGTGCCAGGTTTTAATAGGAAATGAGAATGAAATTGGAGAGAGAATGGAGTGCCCAAGATCATATAGGTCACAGAAAGCAAAATAGTAATCTTAGAACTAGAAGAGGCTTTAGAACATATTTTGTTTTGTATCTTTTTGGTTAGATTTGTGTCCTATTTAGGGTTACTATTGCTGTAGTGAGACCCCATGTCTGCCAGGTCGGGGGCGGGGAGCAGGGGATGAGAAACACCATGACCAAAAGCAACTTGGAGGAAAGGGTTTAATTTATTTCAGCTTGCACTTCCAGACAACAGTTCACCACTGAGGGAAGTCAGAGCAGTAATTCAAGCAGGGCACGAGCCTGGAAGCAGGAGCTACAGAGGCCATGAGAGTGTCGCTTAGTGGCTTCTTCCCATGGCTTGCTCAGATAGAACCCAGGGCCACCAGCTAGGAATGACCCTATCCACTGTGGTCTGAAACCTCCCCATCAATCACTAATTAAGAAAATACCCTACCAGCTTGCCTACAGCTCAGTCTTATAGAGGCATTTTCTCAACTGAGGCTCCCTCCTCTCTGATGACTCTAGCTTGTGACAAGTTGACATAAAACTATCCAGGATAGTTTGGTTTAGCTTTTGTTTTTTTTTAAGGTTCCTGTTGCTCAGACTGAGCTTGAAGTTGATCCTCCTGTTTGTACGTTCTCAGTCCTGGGAACACAGTCGTATTCCACCTTACCTGACTTGTACTACATCTTCTATCAAAGTTACACAAGCTACCTTGTTTACAGACAGACATTGTAAACTGGGTCTCTAAAGTAGCTAAATGCCATGGCTAGTCATCAGCCAATGAATCATTAAGGAGATGAGGAATACGCCATGAATATTTTGAATTATTCCTGAAATTGTGAACTGAAAAATGCAGAATAGGAGAATAGATGTGTTGAGGTCATTTTATGTGCCAACAAGTGTTTAAGAGACACTAAAAATCACTTATATAAAATACCCAAGTCCTCTTCTTGCTTAGCTAATGAATAATAAGTAAGTAGAATAATAGTTCTGATGCTTTGGTTAAGAAGTTTGAAAATGACCTTTTCTAAACCAAACTACTTATCATGTCAAAGCAAAACAACTAGTTTGTTTAAGAAAAAAAAATCTTATCTCTATCCAGTATGTCTTTCCATACCTCACTCCCTCACTGGTTACAAAGTGCAGATGTCCCATGTAGCAGTATTTCCCTCAGCCACTCTAATCAAACTCATCTGGGGACCTCTTGCAAAGAGAAATACCTGTTTGTCTCACCCAGGTTCACAAGGTCTGCATGCCTCTCAACAGTGACTTACCTGTCCCCTGTACACACATACACACATACCCCTTTTGGACCCTCAGTGAGTAAAGACCATCCTTAAGCATATTCTTCTAGAAGATTCCCCTTACCCTGGAGAAAAATAAAAAGTTCAGTCCCAAAGAACTTGATATTAGAGAAGAGTATAAAATTATTTAGAAGAAATCTCAATTTGGGTTACCCTTTTACAAAATGAAAACCTCTGAGACATATTCCCTGCAAATCCAAGATGAACCTGAGCAGAGCCTGAGGGTAGATGCTGTGTGTGTTTGATGCCTTCATCTTATTGAGCAATGGGACTGCCTCGGTTCACGAGCTAGGCATGGTTAAAAATGAGTCAGACTATCTGAATCCAGCTACACTGCTTACTAGCTGGGGAGCTCAGGTGACATTCTGTAAACTTACAAGGATAAGAATGCCCCTGTCACACAAGGTCATTCTTGTTAAGGTGAGAATGTATGTAAAGTACTCAGCAGAGTATCTCACTAGATGACAATATATGGTGACTTACTATGTTGCTATAAGGATCATAATACTGTAAAAGGATCTTCATGACAAATTGTGGGGTTGTCCTCTGTTCTTCCAAATGTCTCTAGACACAGTGGACAATCTTGAACTTTAGTCCTTAGAAAAGCCATGGAACTCTTGTAAAGACAGCAAAAACTTCAAAAGTGAACAAGTCATGACATTGCTCTATGTTTCTGAGGATGAAATTTCTTGACATATTGTATAGTGGAATATGTTTCCAACTTATTTATCAGTAAACAGTTCTTTCTTATTTTGAGGAATATTGAAAACAGCTTTGTCTTTGACTTACAAATGTGAATTTAATTTCAGTATTTCAGAGAATAATGAAGGGACAAGTAAAAACTCTTGTCTGTCATGTCAGAACATCTAGGTATTAGTGTTAAATTCACAGTGGTAACTGCATCCCTCTTAAGAAGGATGTATAGGCCAGATGTAGTGGCACATATACACACAATCTCATTGTCCTGGAAGCTGGCTCAGAAAGACGTTCAAGGCTAGCCTGGGCTATATTGCAGGCCTTTGTCAAGAAAAGAGAAAAATCATGAGAAATTTTTAAAGTTTAAGTATTGAATAACTGTAATCTTTCTTATATTTAAGTACAGTTTTATTTGGTTGCGGGAAATTGACAGAATACTTAAGAATTTGATTTTAAAGTTGAAGATTTAACTTTCTTTAGCCAAAGAAACTCATTTATTAGTAAAACAAGAATTCCCAACCTTAAAAATAAAAAGTCATTGCAAACTAACACCTCCTATCATTTAAAACATTTACACTTTAATTTAAAATTTTAATTATATTTTAATTTCACATTAAAATATATTTAGATACATTGTGTCTACTGTTGCTTTTTTGTTATGCCAGTTATACATTTAATTTCTTTAATTTGTAGCATGAAATAACTTAATCAAATCTATAGTGTGAGTTTTTTTAAAAAAAATTTTTTTAGCTTTTAGTAAAACATGGAGGAGACTTGTTTGCTGAAAATGAAAATAAAGATACTCCTTGTGATTGTGCCGAAAAGCAACACCACAAAGACCTGGCCCTCAGTCTGGAGTCTCAGATGGTGTTCTCTCGGGACCCCGAGGCTGAAGAAATAGAAGCTGAGTATGCTGCATTAGACAAGCGAGAGGTAAGCTGATTGTTTGTCTTTAATCTCAGTGTGGGTGATTATTTCTGCAGTATGCTTAATAGCCTTAGGAGTTCTTAATCCGTAGCAGTGAGCATCAAAATACATCTAGAAACTGTGACTGTTGAGTCTTTCCTCTAACATGATGATATAGTTACTAACATGTAAATAAACATGTTCATGTGTAAGTCCTGCTTACCCATCCGTGTACCCTCATGGGCCCTACTTTTTCAGTCTTTCCCTCTGTCACATGTTGTTCTTGACAACACAAAGGCTTTGGTGACTGCCACCAAAACCCCAAAAGAAAAGGAAAATGTAAAAAAGTCCTAATTCCTCAGTGTTTCATGTTAACTTCATTCTAACAAGAATTTTGTTGGCTTATATCGTATATTACTTATATTGGTTTATATGTATATTACTGAATCTTTCTTGTGAATTCTCAGAATTTTCTGAACCTTTGTACTTCTCACAGTGGCCTAAGGAACTGAGTTCCCAGAATTAATGTTTCCATTTCTTAACTCCTTTTGTTTCTTTAATTATTTTATAAAGTTCTTCTTTTGGTTTAGGTTAATATGGAAACAAAGAGGCCTTTCATACTAACATTTGCTGACTCTTTCACATGGTTTTGAATCCACACAGGAATCAGAAATTATTTGAATAAGTTGTCACAATCGAAGTGAGGTAAACTTTATTCTTCCTACTCTTTCAGAGCCAAACACTTTCTGTTTCCCATTTGCCTACCTTTTGACAGTCCATGATTTTAAGCCAAACAATGATTGGTACTCTAATAATACAGTCATTTAGTGAGAAGATATTTCAGTCGTGTTTCAGAAATGAAGTTGATGTGCTGCAAGGGAATTATGATGATAGATTTAGTTTTTTCCTCTCATGATACCATCTTAATTTAATTCCTAATTTTAAAGTAACAGAACTTAGTGGAGGGAAGGAAATATATTATGGGATAAAGAAATTAATAAAAATTATTAGCAGGTTTATATCTTAGTGAATTTAGCATAATTATAGGAAACTGTTATGTTGAGTTGGAAAAAAGTTACAGAACAGAAAAAAGAACATGCAATACTAAATTTTTAAATTTATTTTTCTCTCATACAGTAGATACAAACCACCATTTCTTGTTGTGTATAATATTAAAAAACAATTCACGCTAACACTGACCACTCTCTGGCCCTGCCATCTCACCGCCTCCATGGCTAACCCCATGCAACGGCCGCCCAACTTACAGTTCGCTTGCTGTGGAACCTGCTCATATTCCCAGCCATCCAGCCCTTGTGGTTAGCTGTCACAAATCCCCATAACCCAGTAAAAATCAAAACTCTAGAGGCTTGTAATTTATCAGTCAGATTTATATCAGTAAATTCTCAACTCACAAAACACCCACACAGTGAACTCAGGGCCAGTTGATATTGATATATGCTGCCCACCTAGATGGGACAAATTGTCCTGTTTTATTCTATTCCTTCTGTTATATTCATAGCTACCTGTGGCTATTTAAAACCACAGTTTATCCTTCTCTTCCTCCATCTTTTCTCCTTCTCCCTTTGTGTCCCTATCTGTCCCATCTCTAAAACTCTCAGTCTGCCTTCCTTTTCCACTGCCCAATCACAGACTCTAGCCTTATCTTGTTTGTACCTGCCCTCACCTGCATGTAGACAGCAGTCTATAATTTCCCCTCCCTCCACTCCTCCCAGTGCCCCACCCCCATAGTCCATTGCTCCTTTTCCCTTTTGAAAAGAAGTGCTGGCCTCCCATGGATATTAGGCAAAAAAGTTACAATAAGACTAGGCATATCCCCTCATATTAAGGCTGGACAAGGCAACCCAGAACAGGCAAAAGAGTCAAAGACAACCCCACTCTCACTGTTAGGAGTTCCACAAAAACACTACACTGAACAACTACAACATATATGTAGAGGACCCATGCAGGCTCTGTGATTGCCACTTCAATGTCTGTGAGCCTGCTTAGTTGATTCTGTAGGCTTGTTCTGGTTTCCTCTGCTCCTCTGGATCCTACATTGCTTCCTCTCTGTCTTTTCAGGGTTCTCTGAATTCCAATTAATGTTTGGTTGTGGATTTCTACATCTGCTCTCATCAGTTGCTGATTAAAGACTCTCTAATGGGGATTGGGCTAGACATCAATCTGAGTATAGCAGAATATTATTAGGAAACATTTTATTGACTTTTTCTTTTCTCTTTTTCTCTCATCTTTTCTTTTTTCTCATTTCCTTTCTTTTTTCCTCTTTTCTTTCCTTTTCTTCTCTTTTCTTTTCTTCTTTGGACCAGTCATGTTTTGTTATGCCCTAGGTTTCTGGAATATCCAGCCTCCAGTTTCTGACCATCCAGGCAGTATTACATGGCCTCCTCTTATGGCATGGGCCTCAAGTTAGAGCTGTCATTGGCCACTTCTAAAAGCCCTGAGCCACCATTACCTCAGCACATCTTGCAGGAGGACAAGTTATAAGTCAAAGATTTTGTAGCCTGATTGGTGTCCCAGTCCCAATACTGGAAGCCTTTCCTGGTACAGAAGATGGCCAGATCAGGCTCCGAATTCTCTATTTCTAAGAACCCTCATTAGGGTCACTCTCATAGATGCCAGAGAGCTTGCACTACACTAAATTTCCACATAACCCCAGAATGCCCCCAAATTCCAGTCTTCTCTTCCTGAACTCTCTCCCTTCATCCCTCCCTCCCCACCTGATCCCTCCTGTTTCCCTCCCCATCTAACCCCAGTTCACCCACAAAATCTCTCCCTTCCCAGAGAGATCCATTTGTGCCCCCCTGAGCCTCTCTGGGTTGGTGGGTTGTAGTGTGATTGTCCTTTACCTAACATCTGATGTCCACTTGCGAGTACCTACCATCTTTATCTTTCTGGATCTGGGTTTCCTCACTCGGGTTGAGTTATTCCTAGCTCTGTCCATTTGCCTGCAAATTTCATGATGCCATTTTTTTTTAAACAGCTGAGTAATAATCTATTATGTACGACATTTTCTTTATATATTCTTCTGATTGAGGGACATCTAGGTTGTTTCTTGGCTATTATGAATAAAACTGCTGTGAACATATTTGAGCAACTGTCCTTGTGGTAGACTGGAACATCTTTTGGGTATATGCCCAGGTACGGTGTAGTTGGGTCTTGAGGTAGATTAATTTTCAATTTTCTGAGGAACCACCATTTTTATTCAAAAGTGTTTGTACAAGTTTGCACTCCCACCATCAATGGAGGAGTGTTCCCCTTGCTGCACGTCCTCACCAGCATGAGCTACCACTTGTGTCAGATGGAGTGTCAGAGTCATATTGGTTTGTATTTCCCTGATAGCTAAGGATACTGAACATTTCTTTAAATGGTTCTCAGCCATTTAAGATTCCTCTGTTGATAATTCTCTGTTTAGATCTGTACCCCATTCTTAAATTGTTTGGATTTAAAAATTGAATTATTTGGTTTGTTGATGTCTAGTTTCTTGAGTTCTTTATTTATTTTAGATATTAGCCTTCTGTCAGATGTGGAGTTGGTAAAAATTGTTTCCCAGTCTGTAGGCTGCAGTTTCATCCTATTGACAATGTCCATTGCCTTACAGGGGTTTATTTCAGTTTTCTTAGATGTTGAGACTTGCTTTGTGACCTTGTATGTTTGTGGTCAGTCAAGGAGAAAGTTCCATGAGGTGCTGCGAATTAGGTATAATCTTTTGTGTTTGGGTGAAATACTCGGTAGATATGTTATATCCATTTGGTTTAAATCATTTGTTAACTCCAATGGGTGACCTGTCCATTGGTGAGAGTGGGGAATTGAAGATTCCCACTATGAATGTGTAGGGGTCAAAGTGCAATTTAAACTTCAGTAATATTTCTTTTACAAATGTGGGTGCCCTTGTGTTTGGGGAATAGATGTTAAGAATTGAAACATCAGCTTGGTATAGTTTTCCTTTGATAAGTATGAAGTGTCCTTCCGTATCTCTTTTGATTAATTATATTTTGAAGTATATTTTGTTAGATATTCGAAGCTACACCAGCTTGCCTATTAGATCCATTTTGTTGGAAAATCTTTTTCCAACTATTTACTCTGAGGTAATGGCTATCTTTAATGCCAAGATGTGTTTCTTTAATTTTTTTATTTTTTAATTTGTTGTTTTAATTTATGCGTATTCTGCATGTATACCTGCATGTCAGAAGAGGGCATTAGGCCCTCTTTATAGATGGTTGTGAGCCACCACATGGGTGCTGGAAATTGAACTCAGGACCACTGGAAGAGCAGCTAGTGCTCTTAACCACTGAGTCATCTCACCAGCTGAGATGTGTTTCTTGTCTGCAGCAGAAGGCTGGATCCTGTTTTCCCATCCAGTCTTTTAGTCTCTGTCTTTTTCTTGGGGAATGGAGTCCATCAATACTGAGAAAAATGACCGATGATTGTTAAATTTCTGTTCTTTTGATGTTGGTGGTGGTGTCTTAATTAGGGTGTCTATTGCTGTGAAGAGACACCGTGACCACGGCAACTCTTACAAAGGAAAACATTTAATTGGAGCTGGCTTACATTTTCAGAGGTTTAGACCATTAATATCATGGCCAGAAGCATGGTAGCATGCAGGCAGACATGGTGCTGGAGAAGGAGCTGAGAGTTCTACATGTCGATCCATAAGCATCAAAAGGAGACTGTTACACTAGGCCTAGCTTAAACATACGGGGTCTCAAAGCCCTTCTCCACAGTGAAACTCCTACTCTTACAAGGCCACACCTCCTAATAGTGCTACTCCCTAATAGGGCCAAGCATTCAAACACATGAGTCTATGGGTGCCATTGCTTTTCACACCAATGTGGGGGTGAGGGTGGGGGTGCGAGTGGGGGTGGTGTGTTTATTTCCTTTGTTTTTATGAATGTAGTTAACCTCCATGGGTTGGAGTATTCCTTCTAGAACCTTCTGTAGGACTGGATTTCTACATAGATGTTGTTTAAATTTGACTTTATAATGGAATATCTTGTTTTCTTCATTGATGG